GAATCACATTCAGTTCTCTCAGGAATACAGATTTTTGGTGATACTTCACAAGAATGAGAGGCAACTGAAACGCTGCAAGCCTGGCCAGCAACTGAGTTCAGGCTACAAAATTTGTTTCTGCACCAGAACAAGCCACAATAACTGTCCCACACACCAACTATCAGCCCCAGCACAAAGCTACAGTGCTGCCGTCAGAAGTTATCATTTATCAAACATAAAAATTGTAAAGATGAGACTGGACAGAAAATATCCTCACAGTATAGTGCTCAACTACCTGCAGAACCGACGGCTATCCCCAGTTTCACTTCAGCCAAAAATTCCGTTCTACAGCCAAGGATACTGGCTTGCAGAACTTCATCAAATCTAATCATGAAACAAAAAGACCAAGGGAACTTGATTCCAGCCGATCAGTATTTTCTGATGTAAACTACTTCACTGAAATTCCCACAGAATTCTGTAAATAGTCTCCTTTTTTAACACCACATCAATATTTGACATTTTTCCACCTGAGAACATCTGGTACAGCATTCTTTGGGCTTTGTAGCCTTCCCTTGGAAGCTATTTCATTGCCCACAATTGTAAAAGATCACAAAATTCTGTTTTACATGCCTTCTCTACCCACGATGCATAATGCTAGGTTGATCATGACTGATAAACCAGCCCACTTCTAGACACACTGTTAAAAGTTATTTGTAATTCAAATAACTAGTTACTTCTTAGTGGTTTCCTGAGGACTTGTTCTATCTTATTTCTAAGAGACAAGGAAGTAATCAATAACGCCAAGCACAGTGGCTTTGGACACAGTGTCAGTAGATCTGTAATTAATCATTTATGAACACTTCTCTTGGAACCAAAACTTACTGAGAAGGTAAAATTAAGTATGCTTGAATATTTCTCATCATAACGTAACCACCCCTACAAATCGATCACTGAAGTTTACAAATGTGAAGATAATTACAGCATATAACACCACTGGAGAAAACCCCTACAACAGTAGAAAGGTCTAAGTTTATAGATCTTCCTACCCAAAGGCACTTTTTAAGCTTTGTCTCTGTTGGCCCGTTCTCTCCAGGCAGGTGTAGCTTTACGTTTATTCTGTGCAAGGTATCTTACAAATCATTTTCATGGAGACTCTAAACAATTATGACAGCAGTCATACTGCAAATAAGGCAGGAGGACATCAGCTGACTAACCCAGTGCAAAGCCCTACAGCATAAGAAACCGTCTTTTCATGCCTACCAACAATTCTCACACACTCCAATTCTGCAGCTCGAGCTCACACACACAGCTGGCAGATTACTTGTTAAACAGTTTTAAGGTGATAACCACAAATTTGCAAAATCTTTAGAAAGTCAGAGTTCCTGCTATGGTCGACTTTCCTTTAAAGCTACATTTAGAGTAGAAACTAATGGATTCCAGCATAAGGGTGTTACTATGTTTGCTGTCATCTCTTGATTGGGGGAAAAAAAAACCCAAACCAACAAACAAAAACCAACAAGCTTTGCCTTCTCAAGACAGGACAAATATCTCTACTTAGAGTTCAGTTTTAATAAAGAATCCACCTAGCTGTCTGCTCGGTAACATTAACCCTCTTGGATAATAAAACAGTTGCACACCACTTAGAACACCGTTTAAGACAAGGTAAGACCACGTAAATAAAGTCATTTGAATCTCTAAAGATGGGCAGCATTTTTCTTTCACTATTAATCATTCAACAGTTTCAATAATGTTGTACACAGACGTCGAAAGAACATGTGCATGGGGGCAGAAGTTCTGTTCTTCTACCAAAGTTCTCATCTCACCCAGCAAACAAATCTGTTGCCATTAGACCATTAGAAGTAGGCTGGTGAGCCACCTTCTCCACAGCCTGAACACATACAAGTTTTATAATTGAGAGTTATTAAAAGGATTCTCGTTCTCACTCTATCGCACTGACACACTGTAGGGAACAGACTCTACATCAGCCTCTGCCACCTCAGTAGCCGGAGCTGGTGAGGTCTGAAACGGGTGACACGAACCACAGACACCTCAGAATTCAAACGCTTACCAGCTTCAAACCTTCCATCATTACTTTTGAACTATCACTAGATCAAAACCCAATGAGACACATTAAGAGATTCTTTACGGAGCCCCAAAAAAAAAAAAAAAAAAAAAAAAGACTCAGAAGAATAAAAATAATGCTAGTAAAAATATAATGAAGTTATCCATTCATGAAAACACATTTCTTGACACATATCATAAGCACATAAACTTCTGTGTAATACCCCAGAGGTTCACAGCATCCCAACAGCCACAACCGCTGTCCCCTCTAAAACTCTGAGCGGCAGCACAGCACAGGAATCGAACTCAAACAGGAACTCCACAGATCGAGGTTTCCATTCAGTCTAACGCCAAGCACAGAGGTTACGAGTCCAACGGAGCAATATACAGCTCACGTTTTGGACTATCAACGCAGGAGGGCCAAGACTAGAAGGCCCAGATGCATTTCTGCAGCTGCAGGCACAATTCACCTTTTGTGCACGCTCCCGCCAGATTAATAAACCACCCCAGGAAGACGCTATCCAGCCTCCTGCATCTTCTGAATGGAGGGCTGCTCTCATTTACTAAAAACCTGTCTCATTAAATTATGTGCATAATAAAATATACTGAAATAATCTAAAGGATATGTCTAGACCAGCAAATGAATTTCCAACTGAAACTGTATTAAAAAAACTAATCAAGTTTAAGTAAGCTTAGTCTATTCTTGTAACTTATTGATCCTGAAAACTAAGACATTATCTTTGTGCAGCGAATCAACAATCAACTTTTGAAGAGTATAACCGAAAGTAATGGTGAGCCACATTTGACACATTCTAATTGCTTACTGCTCTCATGCAACTTGCTATTATGAGCCTTTAAGAACACAAAGTAAATAATTACATCATCATATATTCTTCTGCAAAGTCATTATTAAGAATCGGAGGACTGAGATAACGTATTCTTCAATTCCAAGTTCTATAGTGCTTCGTTCCATAAAAGAATAAAACCTAAAAGAATCGATCTAATGTATAACTTATATTTTTTTGCAACAGGAAACATATCAAAGTCCCATATCTTCCAAAGTGGCAGATACAGGGTGACCAACTTTTTCATTGCTCTCACTTTCCAATTTATTCAGTGAGGTGAAGGCGCCCCTGTGGTCAGTTACATAGTCAAATGCAGCAAAAACATTCAAAATGTTGAACACTCCATATTTAACACATATTCTTTGCATGCCTGATTTTGCATGTTTCTGTCAAAAACCATAGGAAAACCAAACACTTTAGTTATTCCACAGAGAACAGACTAAACCCTAAGCATCTTCAAACATGTTAGTGTCAAATGCAGAAATTTCTTCCATCCTCATGACTCAGGTGACAAAACTGATGCTGAGTGAAAGACTAGAAAAAAAATGGCATTTTGTAAATGGAAGTTCTAGCTACCAAGCAGCATGATGCAACATTGCATTGTTCAAGGACAAATTACTTCAAATGCCAAAGCTAATGAATGATCTGCTCAAAAGTTCAGTGTACTTGCATGCGAATCGTGCTTTCAACAACAACAACAAAATCATCTGGCTGGCAGTACAAACAGTGATTTAAAAACACAGCCTTATCAAAGCAAAAAAGCCCAATCAGTATGTTTTCCAGACAACACTAAAATAACAGAAAGCTACGCTTTCCACCTTTGTTCTAGGTCAGTAAGTGTGACATTCACACAGTAGAATTCACAAGAAGAAAGACTGAAAGAAATACCAGTTTCAATGATAAGACCTGTCAGCTCAAGCAAGCACGTATCATAGAAAGCAGTAACAGCACTAAAACTGACTTAGAGAAACCATCCAACAGGGAAAACTACTCTCCACAATCTGTTACCGCATCAAGGACATTCACATAGACATCAGCAAACAAATAACTACGTGCACCGCACTGTTATACAGTATTGCATCAACTGAAACCTTCAAACTCTAATTCTCTTAAAGTCTTCCACTACTTCCAGGCACAGAGTCTGTTGTCTAATCATCATTTTCTATCTTGAACTTTTGTCTTCTGTTTATAAGATTGTATCGGTACGGCTGAAGAGGTGGTTTTGGAGAAAAATGGCATATTTATTCCTGGACAGCAGATGTCTCAGTGCTTCCTTCTGAGCGCTCCCTGAAGTTACAAGATCGTTACGCAGTGCTGCTGGTTCAGGAAAGCAACATTAAGAATCACTCCTGATCTTAGCCTAGATTGCCCTCAACTTCTGTCACGTGGTCAAACATCTGTATGACTTGGTAACTATTTTAAGAAAAGCTATGTTTACAGCAACTGAAAACCCAGGGGATTCCTTAGGGGAAAAATCACTGCTCAGAATTTCTTGCTTCCACGCTAGTTTAGCCAGTTCTTCTGCTCCCATCCCACGCCGCAGTGCTTTATGTTTGGAAGTTACCCAAGTCACTGCTTCCAGAAATTGCCCTGAGGTTTCAGAAGTCCCAGAGTACACTGGTATAAAGTTTGTTAAGGTGATATGTATGTGGTTGCTGCCAGATGTCAACGTGAATGGGGAGTTACTGAAATTTGGAAGGTTAAATTGGAATGAAACAGATTTCTTTTTTCTCGCATGCATAAGCTTTAAAAAATGAAACAGCACGAGAAGAGTGGTACAGTAACGCTAATCTACACTGCAGATCTGCGCCTCCTTTTTACTTTTCCTTTTTGAAATCTTAAATAAAGCCTATGTATTTTAATTGAGAAAATTCACAGTAAATGAAAGCAATATCTGCGTGCATTCAACATGCTTTGGCAGATACTTCTGAGGGGAAACAAAAAGCTATGGCAGACATAAAAAACAGAAGGCAATTTCAAACCCACATGTGAAATTCTGGTCTGTAAGTGCTGCAGAGTAACAAACTGCTTCCAAAAGGTGTCCTGAATCCAAACATATGTATAGCACAAGCATGATTAATATCCAAATTAAATAAATGGCAATATAACTTATACCTTTGTTACCATGCAGAAGTTCTGGTGGGATGTTATTTAAAAAAAAGCCTTTTTTCCTGCTATTTTTCCCATCTTGCTTGTCTCCCTTTCAGGAGCTCTGTAAGAGAAACGTTGAGTAGGTAACTGAAGAACAAAAAAAAAAAAAAAAAAAGCCAAACTCAAATAAATCCTAACATCCTAACTGCTCGCTGTGCTTCAGCTGTGGCCTAAAAGGCCCCTTGCAGCTCCTGTACCGCGCCGAAGCTGAGCTCAGTGCTTTCGCCTTGGGAACCGGGTGTCGCAGACTCCTTTGCTAAACTACCCAGCTCCAAAAGCAATGAG